AAAAAAAAAAAAAAAAAGGAAGGCTGGGCATGGTGGCTCACACTTGTAATCTCAGTACTTTGGGAGGCCGAGGCAGGCAGACCGCTTGAACTCAGGCATTTGAGACCAGCCTGGGCAACATGGCAAAACCTATTCTCTCAAAAAATGCCAAAAAACTAGTCAGGCATGGTGGCACACGCCTGTGGTTCCAGCTACTCAGGAGGCTGAGGTGGGAGGATTGCTTGAGCCCAGGAGGTCAAGGTTGCAGTTAACTACGATCGCTCCACTGCACTCCAGCCTGGGCAACAGAGTGAGACCCTGTCTCACAGAGAAAGAGAGAGAGAGAGAGTGAGAAAAAAGAGAGCAAGCGAGCGAACAGAGTGGACAGAAGCCAGCGATGCATCCACTTTGAAGACAGAGAACTGTGGAGTCAAAGATCAGAGGAAAAACAGAGCCAAAAGCCCGGCAACAAAGATGAGAGACAAATCTGGAGAGAAAGAGCTAAAGAAACCGGGAGAGACATAGAACAAGAACCATAACTGGAAATCTCAGAAGCCCAAACACACAGTTGGGAAGTGGGACTCCAGGCCTAAGGCAGGTCTGCGCAGCTGTCAGCCTGCCAGATGCTGGCCGTAGCCAGGCTCACCCCAGCCCCCTCCCATGCCTTCCACCAAGGCCTGCTCTTCCTACCTCAACATCAGGAGATCCTGGTTCCCCCAGGCCAGCGCTCACAGAGGGAAGAGGCGGTGACAGGAACTGCAGACCCCTCAGGGACTCGACAAAGGCTATCTCTCTTAAGGGGGACCCCAGCTCATGCCTGCCAGGCTTCTGGGCAGGGGTCTCACATCCTATGTCCTCCAGCAGAGGCTGTTGAAGCTCACAAAGACTAGGGCTGTCCATGGCTTTGGTGAAACTTCAGGAGGCGTTTCCTAGGGGTACAGGGAAGAAAAAGTCAAGTGGTCAAGTTGTAAAAGTCTCACTTCACTCAGCCCCTGATCCCTTGCTTTATAGAGACCCAGAGAGAAAAAAAAGATTGGCCTGAGGTTACAAAGAGAACTCAGGGGTCTGGACATTCAATTCTGGTCATTTCTTTTTTTTCTTTTTGAGACAGTCTCGATCTGTCACCCAGGCTGGTGTGCAG